TCTTTTAGCCTAGGTAGCAGGTTCAACTCCAGGATGGTCTCCATGTTGCACGTGTGTTCACATGTGTGGTAGGTTAAATGTAGAGACTTAAAAGCATAATAGCATAATAGGTCTCTTTCAAATCTCTGCATTTAACCAATCACACATGTGAACACACGTGCAACATGGAGACCATCTTGGAGTTGAACCTGCTACCTAGGCTAAAAGAGACCTATTATGCAAAATTCACTTTTTACACTTTTTCACTTTTTTATACTCAAAGTATTTTTGGTTGAAGTATTCAAATATTGCTAATAGACCAATTGTTTTTATCCATATCTAACTAAAGCAGAAACATTCTTAGCAGACAGTTTTAAACTTAATTTGATTTCAGGAAATCCTCTTAACAACCCATAATTTGGAGTTTTAGGACCCACAGTGGGGTCTTAACCCCAATTTGCTGTAGATGAAACCTTAAAGGGCCTGTGACATCAATTTTTTATGAGAAAAGTGAATGCATTTGTGGAAAGACAACATTAACACATTACAAAACAAATTTCACATTGCTCAGATGAACAAGTGAGATATTTGACTGTGAAATAACAGGAAGTGATGTCAAAGGGGAATGTCTGCATGTGATCATTTAAAAAAATAATAATTTTTTCCAATTATTTTAATTTTTGAGATGAATCAATCATCATATGCACAATGTGTTGACATTTTTAAGACTTCTGAAAGATTGATTTAAGACGTTTTAAGGCTAATTAAGGCCTTGTTTTTTGGATTGATGAATTCAATGTCTTTTAAGACTTTTTAAGGATCTGCAGGAACCCTGGTAACAAAACTCAGGGGTGTATATTCACTTTTGTGGGATGCTGTATCTGCATCTGTCGTTTATCAGTCCAAATGATTGGACACTGACATAAACACAATGTATTGTGTGTCACTAGTCGACAGACAGAGAAGTTTTCACTAACAGCATGAACTTTTCACTTTGTGTAGAACTCAGTACGTTGCTTCTCGGTGTGTGTGTGTGTGTGTGTGTGTGTGTGTGTGTGTGTGTGTGTGTGTGTGTGTGTGTGTGTGT